GGACCATTACGGAACTCCTTGTGACGTCCGAGATCTCATACGGGACTCCGAACAACTTTCGGGTTACCATATGCTAATATCTCAACAACCCTAGCGTCACCGAACCTTAAGTGTGTAGACCCTACGGGTTCGGGAGACATGCAAACATGACCGAGACGCCTCTCCGGTCAATAACCGACAGCGGGATCTGGATACCCATGTTGGCTCCCACATGCTCCACGATGATCTCCTCGGATGAACCACGATGTCGAGGATTCAATCAATCCGTATACAATTCCCTTTGTCAATCGGTACGTTACTTGCCCGAGACTCGATCGTCGGTATCCCAATACCTTGTTCAATCTCGTTACCGGCAAGTCACTTTACTCGTGCCGTAATGCATGATCCTATGATCAACCACTTGGTCACATTGAGCTCATTATGATGATGCATTACCGAGCGGGCACAGAGATACCTCTCCGTCATACGGAGTGACAAATCCCAGTCTCGATTCGTGCCAACCCAACAGGCACTTTCGGAGATACCTGCAATGTACCTTTATAGTCACCCAGTTATGTTGTGACGTTTGGCACACCCAAGGCACTCCTACGGTATCCGGGAGTTGCACAATCTCATGGTCTAAGGAAATGATACTTGACATTCGGAAAAGCTACAGCAAACGAACTACACGATCTTTGAGCTATGCTTAGGATTGGGTCTTGTCCATCACATCATTCTCCTAATGATGTGATCCCATTATCAATGACATCCAATGTCCATAGTCAGGAAACCATGACTATCTTTTGATCAACGAGCTAGTCAACTAGAGGCTCACTAGGGACGTGTTGTGGTCTATGTATTCACACATGTATTACGATTTCCGGATAACACAATTATAGCATGAACAATAGACAATTATCATCAACAAAGAAATATAATAATAACCATTTTATTATTGCCTCTAGGGCATATTTCCCACATTTCTATCTTGAAAGCTCGTAATTTTGAAATATTCTTTTGTGGTGCCAACAAGTGGTGGTTTTGTGACAATCGAAGGTAGTGGTTGCATTCCAACACAACATCAGTAACTTCATAATTTTGTATTGCTCTGTCAAATGTAATAACCATCTGAACTTTACAATTGGGTCTTGTTTCAACTCTAAAGGCTCATGATAGGTTTGCCCTTTCCTTTTTCTAATGCCCTCATTGGAACAAACAATTTTGCGTGAAGTCACCTTTCCATCCAATTTGTTTAAGTTGGTGCATCTTTTCCGCACATCAAAGCCTATGTGACCCCCATATTCTACCCAAAACACCCAAGCCCCATCAAAATCTCTGAATCTCATACCAACTTGAGGTATCCTCTTGCCAAAATTTTCCATTGCACAACACTTCCACAAATGCATAACACCAAATTCTGCCAAATTCAAAATGACATGTATAATTAGTGGCGAAGTGATCTAGTTACTAAAAAATACAAGAAGACAAGCACAAATGCAAAAACGGAAGCACAGGTAAAAGCATGCTTAACTTAGAGGTTCTTTGGGGTCGAGCTTTAGAAAAAGAAGGTGCACCTTATTGATATAAATAGTTTATCATTTTATTAAGTCAGTATGCCACATTCTACCACAAAGAATCTAACCAACGTCAACTAGCGAATGATTGATTTGTTCCTACAACTCTTCTTACCTTTGAGTTGTGGTGTAAGGTCTCTCCCAATGCTTGGCTCTTAACACGATTTCATAAACAAAATACATATGTGGCATGAAAATTAAAGGAGAAAGAGAAAGGAAACTCGTACGTAAGTGGAAATACTTCTCTATGCAATGCAATTAATCCTTGGATTCTATGCGGCTTTAGTCCATATTTCTCTCTCTTTTATTTGCACAATTGTTCAAAAAGAAGTGTTGAGATGTAAAAATAATCATTGATTTTGAATAAGTGCAACATCACTTAGATACAACACTTATGAGATAATGATTGGGCAATTGTCTTTAAAAAATCAATACATTTTTCTTCTTCATCTAAAATGAGTTTGTTTAGTCTATCTACTCCTTCCGTTTCTAAATATAAGTATGTTTAGAGATTTGAATATGAACTACGTATGAATGTATATAGACATATTTTAGAGTGCAGATTCACTCATTTTGCTCTGTATGTAGTTCGCAGTGGAATCTCTAAAATGACATATATTTAGGAACATGGTGAGTATAAAGTATTTTTTGAGGGATATACTTTTTTAGACAACCTCGCGAAGCTTTTATTAACTGTCATAATGTTTACAGGGATGAAGGGAAAATCTCCAGGGTGACCTAATCAAACATGGCGGCCACCCCCGAGAGAAAGAGCATGCTTCGTTAAATTGCGAGCTTCAAAATTTGAGCTCTTAAATTCACTAATAGTCTATCTATAAAATCTCTACTTCTAATGGACGAATTGGTTGAATAGTCCCCCCACTTTCAACCGGTTTATTTTCAACCGGTTTATTTTCAACCGGTTTTTCTTCATCCCACCTTCCACCACCCCCCTCCCACCGGTTTTTCTCTTTCTCGTCTGGCCGACAATACCCAACGTATTTATGGTAATCAATCACAATTAATCCATGTATGGTAAGGCTATAAACTTAGAAATCTCAAATATGATAATTATAGTAATAAATCAATCCATGTATGGTAAGGCTATAACTAAGGAAATTTCGAATATGGTAATTATCACCAGAATCAAAGCTTTCCAAAAAAGTTCTTCTTGCCATACCCTAATCGTGACCTCCTCATCCTGGGGCATTATTTCCATCATTTCTCAGCTGAATCAGAACTTTCCAAAACTTTGTCTGGCTAAATCACAATTTTCCTTCCTTCCCTATCATCTCAATCGAATCATGAGCTATAGGTAAGTCATTTCGTTCTCCACCTCGCACGGGTTGTACTGATTTTTATCATGGTTTGGCCCCCTGCCGTACAAGCCGCTCGATTCCTCCTCCCTCGCTCAATTCCTCCACCCTATCTTCTTCTTCATGGTGAGCGACCCAGGCTGCGATGCGTGCCCGTTATGCATCAGCGAGGAGGATCAGGAAACGTTGATTGCCAGCCCCGCGCTCGTCACGCGAACCCGTTCACCGTCAGGTCATGCTGGTGTGTTACGGGTGTAGGTGCACCTTACCTTAGCCATGGAGGTTTGCCGGTGGACAACGGAGGCCTCGCCATGGACACCAGTATCCCTCTCCTCTTCCTGCGCCCTACCTCTCCTTCCTCAGTCTCTACCTCTCTCTCTTTTTCTCTGTTCCAGGAGATCTGCAGCCGACGCCACAGGTCCTGCCCGTTCGCTGCCGGTCACCTCGCCTCGCTGTTCGATCTCACCGCTGGATATGCACGACTTCGCCGCCCTGTGCCGTCCTCGTCGGGCACCATCATGGCGGCGCGAACACTGTATGCAGTGGCTACAATCGGCGGTGGATTCAACAGCGCGGCGGGCACTAGCGAGTAGCGACCCAGCGGGCAGCGGCTGTGCTGGCCGCTGTCTGCCGCCGAGGTGTAACGGCTCGGGCCCAGACTCCGAGTTCGTCATGGCGCTCCGCGCGACTTCCCTTGCACCGGCTGACTCATGCATGCATCTACAATCTAACTAGCTAATTCCTCCCTTTGATTGCTATTTTCTCTGGTTGTACTGTTCCACAGCTTAGGGATCATCTACACAATCCATCGTCTCATGCATGCACAATCTAATTAATTTGTCTACTGACTGCAGTTTATGAATTGCTCCACAGATCATTTATAGAGATGATTTCAGACTTAGAAGTGTTGAGGTCATGATGCTCTAAATAGTTTTGAAGTTGTATTCACGACATCATGATGCTCTAAATGAAATGAAAATTTGATGGATTCAAGAAGAAAAAGGTCAGGTATGTTTAGTATGCACTACAGTAGAAATTTCACTCGTGGTCATCTTGGGATACTTGTACATGCTTGGTGTTACAATAATTCTACTAATTAATTCCATGAAAGTGCTGAAATTTGCTCAGTGAACAAGAAACCCACTGGGTAACATATTTGGACGCCATACAAGTGGATCTGCATTTTTTCATCAAGGTGTTGTCTCATCTTTTAATTTGCATCGTCGCTCTTGAATAATTAGTTTTCATAGAGATTTATCTTTGATCTGAACATTTTGAACTTTCTTTTTGCATAACCTTGATAAAAGGATTGACAACAAATAATCAGAGAAGACTAGCCAACGAGATGAGGAGAGGAAAGAAGTGAAAAGAGACAAAATACAATATGATATATCAATTTAGAAGTCGTAGCAATGCACATCTTTCTAAATATATATCTTTATGTGATTGGTCACAAGTTGTAGTTGGTAGTGGTAGTAGTATATATTCACTATAATTGTTTGTACAAAATCACATTAAAAAAATCACACATAAATCACAACAATTGCGTGCAAAAACACATAATCTTACCATATTTCATAGGGTGCTATCATTTTTCATGTTTGTAGTTGTATGAGAATATTAAATGTATTATTAACATGATTATTAAATGTATGAGAACATTACCATGATTAATATTGAACTTTTAAAGTTAACATGATTAATATTGAACTCTTACCATATTTTCATATGTCACTTGATATGTATGAGAATATTAAATGTATTATTAACATAATTAATATTAAACTTTTAAAATTAATGTGGCCCCGTTGCAACGCACGGGCGTTCTTCTAGTTAAACGTTGAGAGTCATGAATCTTTTCAAAGTCCATCTCAGCAGCCCAACCCAGCAAGACCGGCCCAAAGCCCCCAGGAAAACCCAACGAGCCAGCGTGGCGCCTACGGTCTCTCCCATTGGCCAGGCCACGGCATCACAGCGCGTGGGTCCCATTCATCCCCTCTGTACCCCTCACCGTCAACTTCCACGAACCTTCCTCTCCTTCCCCACGAAGCAAAAAAACCCGAAGCACACGAGTCCGCTATATAACAACCGGCGACCAGAGACCGAGACAAAATAGCATCCCACCCCACCCATGGACACCGACCTCGACCTGGACGCCCTGCTCGCCTCCTTCGCCGGCGAGTCCGCCGCAGTCTCCGAGCTCCTCGCCCCGCCTCCGCTCGATGCGGCGGAGGCGGGGTCGCCGGAGTCGGTGACCTCCCGGTCCAGCCCCGCCGGCGAGGAGGTGCTGTCGGAGATCGAGAGGTTTCTGATGCAGGAGGAGGAGGCGGCGGGGGCGGAGCCGGTGGACGGGATCAGCGTGGACGAGTTCTTGGACGCGCTGTTCGACGGCGCCGAGGAGGGGGGCGAGAAGGGGAACGGGAGTGAGGCTGAGGCTGGGGGCAGCACTGATGGGGACTCTAGGAGGGGGGAAGAGGGGGTGGAGGTGGTGACGCCGGAGACAGAGGTGGAGGTGGTGACGCCCGAGACGGAGGTGGATGGCGACGATCCCATCAGCAAGAAGAAGATGAGGTATGCCAATTTTGTAATTTGTCGCAGGATATATCGTCTGTCATCTAAAATTGGGCACTTTCGTTTATCTTGTTTGCCCGTAGAACATAGAATTTACATCCAGCTTAAGGATCAATTGTCTGAAGGGTCGTTGTCATACTTAACCTAATTCGTACTACTACTAAAATGCACAAAATTGTACTGTACTAACAAACTCTTAAGCTTTCAGAGATGTGTTGTTCCGTATGGTGAATGTTACTCAACTGGAAGAAATTTTAAGTACATGAGGGCACTATTTTTTTAAAATATAATTGCATAACTTGTCGGTTGACATGTGGGGTTTGACCTTGGCTAAAAGCGCCATATTTTGTACATCTCTTGGTTAACCGGAATGTTATTTTGTCTTGCTGAAAGAATCGTCTTAGAGTCTCAACCAGATGAGAACTATCCAGTATTATGTTTGAGAAGTAGGGATGTTTTTTTTCTCAATTGCAAGGCTATTTGGGAGCTGGGATGTATAGCCTATTACAAGTTGCATTTTTGGTGATTTTTCAGGCAAATGAGGAATAGGGATTCTGCCATGAAGTCCAGGGAGAGGAAGAAGTCATATGTGAAGGACTTGGAGACGAGGAGCAAGTATCTCGAGGCAGAGTGTCGCCGCCTCAGCTACGCACTTCAGTGCTGCGCAGCTGAGAACATGGCACTGCGCCAGAACATGTTGAAGGATAGGCCTATTGGTGCTCACACAGCCATGCAGGAGTCTGCCGTACTTTCGGGTAAGATGCTGATGATTTTCACCACAAGTTGTATGAATAAAATTCTATTGCTGATGGTTTTCATTGCTCAACCGTGCTGACAAACAACTAGTGCATTACTGTCTGGACTGCAAGTATCTCCAACGTTGGCTTGTGCTCATGTAACTTGAAATTGTTAATATGTCCATTTAAGCTTTTTGGGTTATGCAACCCTCTTGCTCTCAGAAATCTAGTTTCCTTTGGTGATATCTGATCGTTTACATTAATTGAAAATAATCAGAACTTAGCGAGCTTGATGGCTCACAGCTCGTCATTCACATAGAGTTTGCATGAAATGCGACCTGGATTACTTGCTCGCAGAAACTTCAGCTGTGCTAAATGTAATTGTTTTCATTTTGCAGAAACCCTGCCGCTGGTTTCCCTGCTTTGGCTAGTGAGCATCGTGTGCCTATTCCTAACGCCCGGTCTACCCAACCGAAGCCTGGCGGCTCCAAGGAGAGCCGAAAGAGGTCTCGCAATGGTAGCCGGAAAGCCAAGCAGTGATCAACCAGAGACCTTGGAGCTTCTACTCCATGGAAGGCGCTGGAGGGGCACAAGGGAGAGGATCAAGCTAGATACTCCGCCATTGCGTGCAGCTGCCGCTTGCTAGACTAGTGCCGGCTTATTCGCAAGTTTCCAGTATGTAGTGTAGTTAGCAATGAATGTCTATTATGTGTTCTCTTGCTGCCACCGTGGCTTTATCCATGACTATCTTTCTGCTCTCTCTGTTCCCTTTGTTCTATGATCATCTAATCAGATGCTAGTTTTGAAACCTGGCTTTGTCTATCTCTCTGGGTTTATGTAACTATGTGAATCCTATTTTGTTTGCCAATGCCAGAATGACGTTGATGTCAAATTCAAACCATAGAAAGTTCACGGGTGAAGTCACAAGTGAAAGGCCACTAATACTCCAGTGTAGTTGTCAAAATTACAGTAACGGGGTTGAAGTCACAAGTGAAAGGCCACTAATACTCCAGTGTAGTTGTCAAAATTACAGTAACGGCAAGCAGCTAGTACAAGTGCAGTACTGTAGTGTTTTCCTGTTTTGGGGGGTAGGAAAATCTCCTATATGGTTCATTTTGTGTATATAATAACGATCTTGCAAGAAAAATACAATAACGATAGTTAGTTGATCACCAGTTCCAACCTTCTGAAAACGGCATGTTTATTAGATTCATTTCCCTTTGGTAATGTTCCTCTTCTCATTCAAAGGTCTTTCCCCTGTCTCTTATGACGAAAGATTATGTGGATGGACTGATTTGTTTGCAGGTCATTTCTAGAGAAAGCCTAGTCCCTCTCTCTATATTTCATTTTCTCCATTTATCTTCTATTTATGCACACGAACCCTATTTTAACTCCAATTTCACATCATAATAATTCAAACTTTAATGTTCCTACCCAACACAATACAGATCCATATATTTTTTCTGAACCATGCAAGAGAATTGCACGTGTTATATTAGATGAGGAAAATGAGTACATCACTTTTCACAACCAACAAAACAGAAAACGGTGGAAAGAAAGACCAAGCTACATGCTGAACTACTAAATTCATAATTATGAAAATCACTTGTAGAAGTCAAACACTAACGACGAATTATCGTCATCCTCAAGAAATTCATCAACATACTACCCCAACAATGAATCGTCATAATATCCCTCCAATATCATTGAACTTCAATTTTATTACTCATCTAAACATCATATATTTACAAAAAAATGAGAAGACATTTCGCCCAACACCTTCAAGGTGTCAATGGGGGGCGGCCTTTCGGAGCTATGTGGGGGAGGATGGGAGAGGTGACAACACGCTCGCGGTGGCGTGAGGAGCGGCGTCGAGGATGGGAACATGCAACAGGTGGGGCTCGTTAGAGATCGCTAGGCACCGGATCTCAAGTTGTTGTCCTGAGTGCACGGCGGGAGATGTCAGATTGAGCGGTAGCTGTCATCGTGTCGAAGAAGAGTCACACTGGGAGAGTGTG